AACTACGGCGGGTCCACAGGAACACGCTTTCGATGAAGGTGGCGGTCCGCATCCCCTGGGCGACCTTAATTCGAGATACACTTCTGTTCCATGGGGATGGGGAGTGTGAACAGGCAAGCAGACGATGATACCTTCACACAAACGACATTATTGGGCACCACAAGATATGCCCAATCTTGATTCCCGACACTTTGACGAAAGTGCAGAACCGATGGGAACATGGTATTTCACTCAGCACGGGCTGGGTGAACATTGAATTGACGGATAATGCGAATATCCCAATTGGCACGTCTGCAGTCGGTCCTACATCAGACATGATTGGATCGATATGGACCGATGGCTCGCAGCAGGAGGCTGATTCCACCCGTGACGGGTGGGCTGTGGTAGATGGCCACCAGTGGGAGAATGAGATATACTCACAAGGATTCTGGATGTCGAGAACCTTGGGGATATCCAGCATCATTTACGATAGTGATCATATAGGCAACACAATGTCTGAGATGATGTCATTGATGTGGGCACTGCATTATGTACTTCAGGAAGCTGGGGATGGAATCAGATTCGAAGATGGAAACTCGCACGATGGACCATTACAACATATTCGAAGCTTACACCTATTATATATATATATATATATAACACGACCGGGATACGTGGAACGAGTTGGCGGACAATATTGCGAAGAGCAATATTACGTCAGAGCGACGGTGTCCTCACATGCAGTTACGCGGTCAGATCGTATATTCAAACGGATTGACATGGACCTGACATAAAAATGATATGAATACATGAAAAGCAACCATCCACATATTGGCTATGGCGGCATGCAATATGATTATGTCACACCGGCGGTAAGTCGGAAAACATGGAAAAGTATTGAGGCGGCGAAGCAAGTGTTCTATGATGGGAGAAACACATAAATAAATCAAAGAAGCGAGGAGAGGCACGCCTTTATTTCAAGTGTGCTTCGTACAATGCTGTCCCTGACGGAAGCAAGATCGAGCAAGCTGAGCCGGCACCGAAGATTGACCAAACGCAGAAGGATACAGCAAGTACGCTTGAACTTCATGACGAACAGCTGCTTCTGCTGGGTGTGCAGAGGCGAGAGGAAAAGAAGGACAGCAATGTGCAGACAACTACATCACTTTTCGTGCAGGAGCTGATGGTGGAGGCCGTGGTCGTGCGCTGCTGGTTGCTACTGGTATTCCATATGGACTTGCGGATACGAAGCCCCCTTTTCTGAATGAGCGTCATTTCCGCACAGCGGCGAAGGACCCAACGAGGTTGGTTATGCAGATCACGGCGCCGCACTTGGTCAAGACGGTGTCGGTACTACATGCACCACGGCGTCATCGGCCTGCGGAGGAAAGGAAGACAGGGCGGGAGGATGCAAGAGCATACTTGGAAAGACATCCACACAATATCATCTTGATTAGCGCCAATGCTAGCATGAATCCGACGCTGATGGAAGCACCGTGGGTTGGGGGGGCTCGTGATTCCGGAGCAAGGCGGAGGATAATGAAAAAACTTGTAACGACGATGATGGACAAGAGCAGGATGATATACAATATGAAGATTGGGCCAGAGGATGGTTGGACATGGGCCGACGGACAGGCATGGCATAGGAAACAGTATGCTTGTTTGTCTGAAGAAATGGAAGATATGGTGGTGGGCTTCCGTGTGATTAATGACTTGGGGAACGGTCTCGCACAGGAAGACCATCGGTCAGTAGTGGTAGGGTTACGAAACAGACATTGGGCAACACCAAATGCTAGCAAGGCGAGAGTTAATTTATCAACCGAGAAGATGAAGGATGTTGAACGACAGGAAAAGTCCAGGCAAGCAGTGGTTGAGATGAAGGCGGGCCCATGGGAGCAGGATATGAACCAACAGTATGCTGAGATAGTTGGGGGGATCAAAGACGCAGCCCGCATATATTTTGGCGAGGATATCATGGTACCGCACCAAAGCTATATGTTAATGTATACCAGGATACCATGCAGCTGGTCAGCTTGCGCAGGTGCGTTACAAAAAGGGAGGCGCAGATGGAACAGAGATGAAATCGACGCATATGACAATAAGGTATGTTTCATGCCTGCGCAATTCATGTTGTTTGCAACTGATGGAGATCCGTGGCTTCAAGCATCTCAGAATTTGTTATTGGGTGCGCAGTTGGTATCTCAAGGTGTTTGGAGCTATCGCGAATTGGCAGGACATGCGGAGTTCGTCTTGAGGAACACACAGGAAAATGACAGAGCGGGTGGAGAAGAAAAAGACGGAGTACTTGAAGATAATTGCGGATGGTTTTAATGAGAATATCCTCACGCATGACAGCAGGGCAGAATGGGAAGCAGTAGGAATGCTACTTCGACATGGGGGGCAACAGCATCCTCGATACCAAGGGGGTAACTCGCTACCTTCATCGCATCGACGATAAGGGCCACGTGATTACTACTCCTAGCGAGGTGGGATCGAATCAAGCGGCATTTTATTCAAAGCTAGAAGATGCGATGGTGGGGACTCCTGGAGACTACCTCTCGCACTCCAATGACAGACGAACGACGACATGCGGGATGTGATGCCCAATGTTGATAGGATCCCCACCTTAAGTGATACTGCTCGCAGGTTTCATAAAGGTCCACGTCGGCGCGCTGCGGGATGTGATGGGATTAATTAACGAAAAGATTGTCCAGATAGTGGCAAGTGAGCTTGCTAAATTGGTTCGCCCGATGTCCGTGAAGGTAGGACTGCTGGGACAGGAACAGACGGGCTTCAAGCACAGCAAGCTCGCTGAAATAGCTACGGAGGGAGGTGATCAGCATGCGAACAAGGGTTTCAGAGCTGTAGCTGTATGTGATGCTTTTTTTTGGCTGCCAAGCATCATTACCAGTTCTTGCGCAATCAGCTGACGGCCACACTTGGCATTATGCTTCGTGACGCGCAGTTCTGAGAAGCCCCGCCGCCTTCTGACAAGGCCTTCTCCTTCTCGCTTCCCCCCCACTCGCCGCCGACGTTGGACGCTGCTTGCCCGGGGGGCCCACCGCGTTGAGAAAAACCAGCACGGACTTGTTTCGCCGCCTTCAGCCTCTAAAGCCCTCGCTGGGCCCCGGGACCGTCGCGACTCAGGATGAGAAGCCCGGTCCCCGGGAGGGGGGCTGAGGAAACGCGCAGCTTTTGGGCCCCAGCGGGCCCCGCTCGCACGAAAAAGGTGCACGTTTCCCCACCCCTCCTTACGCTTAGGTCCGGCATGTCCCCCTACAGGTGGACTCATGGACGGAAAATAAAGAGTAGCCCGAAAATGTTCAAAATAGCCAAACATTGTCAAAACATCGTCTTTGACAATTTTTTACTATTTAAGAAAATTCCTCCTGTAGAGGGACAGGCCCGACTTAACCTGACGCAACGCCCGATCGGCGCAGCTCCCAAAAGACCCGGCGACGTGCGGGGGGGTTGGACAGCGAGGGGCAGCCAATGACCCAGACCCCCTCGAGCCACGAACAAAAATCACGCTATTTCGGGGCCTTTTGGGGGCGCTTAGCGGGCCGTGGGACCATCCACAAAACGAGTCAGGATGCAAAACCGGTCCGGGGGACTGTGTCTGGACTCTTGGGGTCGACGCCATGAAAAAATCAGTACGTCGGGAGTCTGGGGAGTCGGCTCTCGGGGGGGCGCTCCGGACCCAGCCAGGCTCGCGTCGGGAAAAAAATCTCGACAGGAAATTGTCGGTCATTTCAGGCCTCTGGGGGCCCTCGCCAGGCCCCCCGGCCCGTCAACAAAAAGATTCGGGATGAAAAACCAGCCCGGTGGAAGGGGTCGGGTCGGGACTTTGAAGGACCCCGAATTGAAGAAATCAAGACATCGCATGGTTCGGGAGCTTACGAAGTCCCAAATCTCAGACGGTGTGGTCTCTTCAGTTCCTCTTCTTTTCCTGGATTTCGGCCTCCTGGGCTCCGTCATCGGGCCTGGAGACCATCAAACGAGGACCTGGGCAGAACAGCTGCACTGGGGGAAGGGGTCGCGAGCTGTGGGGCCGCGCTCGGAACAACAACTCTTCGTCGGATGCCTGGGGAGGTCCTCGCCCTCGGCACACCTCGATGCCCAGATATCCGACATCATCTGTCCCACGACGCGGGCCCCCAAAGGTCTGGACCCCATTCCTGGGACTGGTTTTCAGTCCTGCGTCGCCCTTTGACGGTCAAAGGGGCTTGGTAAGGGTCCCCACATGATGCCGGCAATTGCCAGAAAGCCAGCCGTCGTGATTTTCCCACGACGCGACGGGGTCTGTGCGGAGAGCACGCCAGGGCCCAGAGACCTTTCCGATACGTTTAAGTCGGGCGTGTCCCTGGGATTTCTTGATAATCAATACGAAATACCCAACCAATGCTCAAAGATAGCAAAAAAATAGTCGAACAATCGCCCCCTGACTTTTTTTGGGGGGGCTATTTTTGAACATTCCTCTTGTGGAGGGACACGCCCGACTTAGCCCAGTCGGCGACCAGCGAACGATTGGGGGGGCGAGGCGACCCCTCCCTGAACCTGCCCCTCCCCAACGTTGACATTGCGCCCCCCCTTTCCCCTCGGGCCCCCTGGAGTCCGAGACCCGAGCCCGGGGCCGAGCCCCCGAGCCCGACGCCCGTACCCGAGCTCGAGGCCGAGGCCCAGACGGGCCGAGCCCGAGCCCGAGCCTCTGTGAGCAGCCGAGCGCGAGCAGGCGAGCCCGAGCACCCGAGCCGCAGCCCAGGCCCGAGCATCCGAGCATCCGAGCTCGGGACCGAGTCTGGGTATGCGAGCATCCGAGCATCCGAGCCTCGGCCGGCCAACCCCCCGGCAGAAGAGCGGCGGCAGCGGCAGGCGGCACGTTGACGACGACGCCGCCGCCGCCGCCGACGACGACGACGACGACGACGACGACGTTGACGACGACGTTGACGACGACGACGCCGACGCCGAGAGGCGCGCCGGAGCGCCGCGGCGTGGAGCCCGGCCGTGCAGGTGCGCGCCTCGCGGCGCTGCCGCGTGCAGCCTGGCGGCAGCGACGCGAGCATCGCGGCGGCGAAGGGGTCCGCCGCGTCGGCCGCCGAGCGCAGGGCCTGCCGCCGTGGGCCGCCGCCGCCGCCGTCGTGGTCGTCGTCTTCGTCGTCGTCGTCGTCGACGTCGTCGTCGTCGACGGCGGCGGCGGCGTGGTCGTCACCGCCGTCGGTTGATGATTTGCATCGCGGCGGCAAACGTGCCCGCCGCGACGGCCACCGCGCACAGGGCCTGCCGTCGCTCACCCTATCATCCAACGCATTGGACAACAAAAACACGACACAACACACACATACACTTTTTTCGTCAGCGGCGAGGCGGCAAAATCCGCACCAGCGAGCAACCAGGTAGGGGCACTAGCTAGCGAATTGACTGGCGTGCAAGGAGGGAGGGGGGAGGCCAGGAGGAAGGAGGGACGCTCAGACGCCGAAGAATTCGACGATGAGCAGCTGGCGGGCAGCAGCAGCCAAGCGCGCAGGGCCAGAGCGCGGTGGACAACCGTGGCGAACCACGGTGGCAAGGGGACACAACGCACACACATAATATTAATATTAGGTCAAGGTCAAGCCTGCATGCCCGCGATGGGGCGGCCGCTTAGGGCACAGGCGGGTGAAAACTAGCAGGCGCTCATGTGGTGAAGAAAATCTCCGGTCATACAATTCCAAGAATGTGGGTCTTTGGCTGCTACTCTCCAGTCACCGATCCCGTACTTGTCGCAGAAGCACTCGACATCAGACTCCCACGTTTTCCGCGGTCTCCCTTGGGACCTGCTTCCGGCAGGTGTCCATGCAAGCATGCGTGACAGCCATCTGTCTGCAGGCAGGTTGGCAACGTACCCGGCGAAGTTCCAGTATTGGCGGAACAGTACTTCCGACCAAAGTTTGGCCGGAGTGCCTTGCAACTTCTCGGTAACACGGTCGTGCCACACATGTAATATCTCATGCCATGGACAGGTCCAGTCGACCTCGCCTGGCGGCCCGACAACTTGTCGAATAAGCTTGCGACACGTAGCGTCCAGCTTCTTCCGCTCGGCAGCATAGACCACGCGGTGAGCAGAACCAAACATAGCAATCGGGGTGATGACGGCATGGAAGTAGTTCAAGCGCAGCTCAACCGGTACACGCTTTGCTGTTAGGATCCACCGGCTCGCGAAGAAAGCCCTTGCAGCTGCTTGAAGATGGTATTCTTGGTTTTGCTTCACAACGTCGGTCGACAGAATGCATCCTAGCCATTTGTGAGAGTTCACGCGCTTGATACATACACCAGAGGGGAGCAAAAGCATGTCCGGCGGTTGCGCCTCGGTAGTCAGGGCTGCAGTTTTGTCGGCGTTCAGCATCAGGCCAACTGCGGCGAGCTCCTCAACCAGCGACGCCAGAAGACTCGCAGCCTCTTTAATATTAATGTGTATACATATATATAGTTATATATATAGTTATATATAATAACTATAAACAGATAAGATAAATACGCATACACATTCCCCAAACGCTGCTTGCACTGAGAATTCTAAGCTCTTCTCTAAGGAACTGTGCCTGCGGCCTGGTCTGGCGGCTCCGTGCTCGCTGCCGCCGCCTCGCCGCTGCTTCGTCGCCGCCCGTCGTCTGTGCCGGCGGGCTGGTCTGGCGGCTCCGTGCTGGCCATCGCCGCCCCGTCGCCGCCTCGTCGCCGCCCGTCGTCTGAGCCTGCGTGCCAGTCTGGCGGCTCCCGTGCTCGCCGTCGCCGCCCCGTCGCCGCCTCGTCGTTGCACTGCTTTGCATTGCGTTGCTTTGCCTTGCTTTGCGTTGCTTTGCACTGCTTTTTGGTGCTATGCATGGTACTGCTTTACATTGCTGCTCTTTGTTGCGCTTTTCATGGCATTGCTTGGCATTGCTGCGCGCTGTTTTGGATTGGGCTACTTTGTCTTACTTTGCGTTGCCTTGCATGGTTCTGCTTTGCATTGCATTGCTTTGCGTTGCTTTGAATTGCTTTGCTGTGCGATGCTGTGCATTGCTTTGCACTACTTCGCATTGCGTTACTTTACATTACTTTGCGTTGCCTTGCATGGCATTGCATAGCATTGCGTTAGTTTGCATTGCTTTGCTGAGCATTGCTTTGCTTTGCATTGCTTTGCTGAGTATTGCTTTGCTTTGCATTGCATTGCATTGCGCTGTGTTGCCGTGCTTCGCATTGCATGCCATTGCATTTCGTTGCTTTGCCTTGCTTTGCGTTGCTTTGCATGGCATTGCGTTGCATTGCTTTGCATTGCTTTGCTTGGCATTGCAGTGTATTGCTGCATTGCGGTACTTTGCCTTGCGTTGCGCTGCTTTGCGTTGCTTTGCATGGCATTGCTTTGCATTGAATTGCTTTGCGTTGCTTTGCATTGCGTTACCTTGCCTTGCTTTGTATGGCATCGCTTTTCATTACATTGCTTTGCTTTGCGTTGCTTCGCGTTGCTTTGCATTGTTTTGCTTGGCATTGCGTTGCTTTTGCATTGCTTCGCCTTGCCTTGCATTGCGTTGCATTGCGTTACGTTGCCTTGATTTGCGCTGCTTTACGTTGCTTTGCATGACATTGCTTTGCATTGCGTTACTGTGCCTCGCTTTGCGTTGCTTTTCATGGGCTTCCTTTCCATTGCCTTGCATTGAATTGCATTGCTGTGCGTTGCTACGCATTGCATTGCTTTGTGTTGACTTAGTTCTCCTCTCGCGAAAATGATAAAACCTCCCCCTCCCCCCCGGGACTTGACGGTCCGCCATTGTGTATGGCAACTTACATATGATTACGCCACGTCGTCCATCCGAACTACGGATTCCATTTGAATTAGTTTTTTACCGGTCCGACCTTGATCCTCCGCATAGAACAAATGCGCGCGCACTCGTTTATCACAAGTCATCAGTGCCCAAGAACCCCTGGCAACAAATGGGACGAAGTGCGCACGAACGCGTCGTCGCGCGCATGCAACCCTTAGAAAAAACACACACGTTCAAGAAGTATTTCAGAATCGAAAATCTCGACCACACATAAAAACGCGGGTTCGCAACAGGAGACGCGTAAATCATGCGGTCGCTCGCGGGCGTTTTCCCAAGCATTGTTCAACAATGTCATCAAATCCTACCTAACGTGTCTCTCGCGCGCATGTGGAATTTGTTCGAATGCCCTTGCGCGCGGGCTGTCGTAAGAATCGTTTTTGCAAAAAGCGTAACGTATTGCAAACGCGCGCGTCGTCGCGCGCGCATGCGGAAATCCTTCAAACACTTTGAATTTCGTAGGGGGTTCGACATCGGATGTCCCAAACATATGTGAAACACATGGGTTTGCAACATCACCGTTCAAGATAATCTGAACACTTCTGCAAATACTTAGAGCGACCTTCGGCTTTCCAGCCACTTGCATCACATTCAAACAAACGGGCCTCTCGCGCCGCATGTCGAAATAATTCGACCGCCCTTGTGTGCGCGCTGGGGGGCACGATCCTTCTCAAATAACGCCATGCGGGCCAGTCTTGCGCGCCGGCCGCGCGCGCACTCATCCCAAAACCTTCGTCACCGACGCGAAGACAGCGTCAACGTCATCGGCGTGTTCAGCATCGGCGCCATCATGGGCCTTACCGTCGTCAGCGCCAGCGTCGTCGCCATCATCGATATTATCGTTATCGTGTCAAACGTTGCGGGCGTCGCCATGATACCGTGCCCGCCCCACTCACCGACTCGCACTGATGTGCCCGCTGGGAAGTGCCCAGCGATCAGCGCCACCGCAGCGGCGTCGGTCGTGCCAAACTAGCTGGCCGCTGTGCGCGCGAACATGCGCGGGCTGCTACCGCGGCCGCAGATTCACCAGCCCACGCCAAACTCTCATCTGAAGCGCCGCCGCGTGGGTTTTGCAAACCAAGTTGCGGGTGGGCGGAAGGGGTGACTGTTGCGAACGATGGAGCTGCCAACTCCCATTTTTCAGCATTACGTTGCACCACATAGAAGTGCATCACGTGGATTCTCCTTTCTAGAAAGAGAATAGACTCTACCCCCCCTCCCGGCGTTATCCACCCCCTTTCGGGTATGTAAATCATGTATGATTCTGACCACATGTCCATCCTAAATATGAATTTACACTACCACAGTGGACTGGTATCGGCCCGGCCCGCCACCCTCCGCAAAAAATACTATGCGGGCGCATTCGTTTATCAAAATCAGAAGTTGTGACGAGTCCCTTGCAAAAAGTGGGACGAAGTGCGCACGCGCTCGTCGTCGCGCGCGCCTGCCAAAATCCTTCAAAAACCTTCAGTGTCAGAAGGATTTCGCAATCGAGCTTCCAACAAAAACATACAAAACACATGGTTTCGCAACACTGATTTGCAAAAAAAGCTTCGGCGCCAGCTCTTGCGAAATCTGAAGAAAACCAGGGTTTTGTTTCAAGATTTCTGCAAAATGCTACCAAACGGGCTTCGCGCGCGCATGTCGAACTCTGTCGAACGCCCTTGCGCGTGTGCCGTCACGACAAACCTCTGCAACAAAAACGGGACGACGTGCAGACGCGCGCGCCGTCGCGCGCGTATGCCGAAATCCTTCACAACCCATCGGTTTCGGAAGGATTTCAAAATCGTGTGTCCCAAAAAAAAAAACCTACACCAACACAAGGTTTCGCAACACGGATTTTCAACAAAAGCGTGCGCGCGCGCTCTTGCGTCGTCGTCGTCGTCGTCGTCGTCGTCGTCGTCGCCGTCCTCCCTCCTCCCGCGTCGTCGTCGTCGTCGCCTACGTCGTCCTTTGTCTTTCCTCGTGTTCGTCGTCGTCGTCCTCTTTGGCGTCGTGGTCGTTTCCGTCGTCGTTGTCGTCGTGGTCGTCCTTCCTCCTCCTCCCTCGTCGTCGTCGTCGTCCGTCGTCGGCGTCTCGTCGTCGTCCCTCCTATTTCGTCGCCGTCGTCGTCGTCGTCATCGTCGTTGTTGTCGTCGTCTTCTTCCCTCCTCCCTCGTCGTTGTCGTCGTCGGCGTCGCCGTCCTTCCTCCTTCTTCGTCGTTCGCGTCGTCGCCGTCATCCCTCCTCCCTCGTAGTTGTCGTCGTTGTCGTCGTTGTCGCCGTCGTCGTCCTCC